ATGAGATTCAAAATATTTCTGCAATAAAATCATTTTATTTTACATGATTTTACACAATTGTCGTAAGGTTTGATTATTCGGTGCCTGGAGATCGTGCAAACCGGTTTTATCCAGAGATAAGAAAGTATTATCCAACTCTAAAGGATGGATCTTTGGAGCCTGGCTATGCTGGTATTCGACCGAAACTTTCTGGGGCAATGAAAGATCCTGCTGATTTTATTATACAGGTAGCATTTTATCCCCATTAATTTTTTATTACCTGAACTCAATTCAATCATAATCACAGTTAAAAAACTCTCAAGCCTCTTGTTACAATATGTTACCAGTCAGGAAAGTGCTCAATTGCAATTGCCTGTTAAAATTGTCACATTTCCTTCAAATATAAATTTGATCAAAATAATCCTTCAAACATATATAATGCAGAATATTAACAGCAAAAAATTCTGCTCGAATTTGCAGGGAGATGACATTCATGGGATTCAAGGCCTTATAAACCTTTTCGGTATAGAATCACCCGGGCTTACTTCAAGTCTGGCCATTGCTGAACATGTTGCTGCTCGATTATCAAGATAGATAATCCGCTTGCCATTATGTTACAAAGAATACCAGACATTGAAATAACGTTACAGAAATTTTTTAAGGGAGATAATTCATTTGTATTGTTTGCCTTTTGTATACTTGAAAACATGTATCTACTTGACAGTTTCTTGTTCTTTCTATTGTTAGCAACATAATATTAGCAGATAAAATAAAAGGCAATCATATATATTAGCAAAACTTTCTTCACAACCTTAGTACATTACATTGAAATGATGGATAACCGAGATAAAAGGTATGAAGATGCCCCATGATATATTTCATTCCAAAACTGCTGAGAATCTTTTACAGCAGAAAATTTTGTTACAGTCCTTAGTTCCTAAATTTTGAATCTATTTAATCAACACAATGAAAAAAAAAATATCGTCTTAGCGTTTTCTTTCCTGCCGCCACTTGTACACAGGTCCTGAGGCCGAAGAGACAATTTCATCTTCACGAAGTTTGCGCTTTCTGCCCTTTTTCTGTAGCAAACAGTAAAAAAAGTATGTTCTTTGCATAATAGTTCCACCAAAAGTACTATGTTGTAAGCTTTTGGTTTTTAAATATCGATACCTGCAATTCTTTCTGCATAGCCATATCCATGTAAATTTTCTCTAGCTCCTGGACTCTGTTTTTCCTAGCCTCGAGTTCTCGGTAGGAAGCAGCTGTTTTTCTGCTCGTGAATCAAATCACATTTAGCGCAAACAAACAATCAATAAAGTCGTGCTGAGAAAAAAGCAGTCATTTTGTACTTCACCAAGTCATCAAAATCTTTACACATCGGTTAGTAAGTCTTATGGCGTACAAGTAAATAAATTTACTTAGCTCGATTACATTTAGCATTCCATTTCAAATGTTATAATTCGCGGAAAGGTGTGTAGTTGGATATTGTAGCATTGCCATTTAAATTTTTTTTTCTCAAATCATTTAGTGGTTTTAGGCTTTGTTTGGTAACCAAATAAACTACTTTACAATTTATTTGGTTAGCTTATAAGCTTCTTGTATTAAAATAAGTTTCGTTTGGTAGGACGAACTTTTTTAAAAAGCTCGAGCTATCTCATAAGCTTCTTTAGTTAGCTTTTCAAATAAACTCGTTGAAATTTCTATTTCAGCTGCTTATCAGCCAATTTTACCAAACACTTTTATCATATAAGCTAGTTTTTCACCAATAAGTCATATGCTATAAGCTCGAAAATCACTTATAAACTAACTTATCAACTACCAGCTAGCTTTTATCAGTTAGTTTACCAAACATAACCTTACCAGCCTTACCAGTTGATAAACGATTGACCAACAAAAAGGAGAAAAATCACAAAGATGGTTACTTTCATTACCTTTGGATATCCTTAGGCAAGTCCTTGAAAAAAGGCTTTCCTCTGTTTTCCGGGACTTTAGATCGTAGTTCTCTAGCTTCATCCCTAAAGGGGTACATTACATAACATTTTTTGGTTAATGATTTACAAAATTGAATTTTCACCTTTGAATAAATTGCTTCAGTTGAATTTAAACAAATCAAATGCAAACTTTTTGCAGTGAAGAAAAATAACAACACATAAAAAAACCTAACTACTGACCTGTCCTCAGCATAATAAACGTGCTTGTTTGACGAGTGGTTGTCATCATCAAGGTAATGCAGCATCCCACTTAGCCTCTCGATTTTCTGCATTAAAAAATAAAAATTAAAAAATACAGTTTTTGAAGCTACCATTTACGGAGGTGTAAAGTTACAAGACCTTTTTTTCGGTTTGAAGTTTCTGAAAAATGTATCCAATGTCCTGAGTCTTCATCAGCATGAGCTCTTCTTTAGTATACTTGTTTGCTTCACTCCTTTATAACTCAACAACAAATCAAACTCAACAGTGTGAACGTCTTTTGCGAGATTACACTTATAAACTTCAAACTAAATATATCTTACTCCAATCTGTGGACTCCATTAACCATTCTTGTTTTAACCATCTTGAAGTAAAACTCATCTGGGTTCTTAAAGGCCGCTTTTTCTTTAAGTTTCTGCAAGGAGCAAATACAATCAATAATAAGACCACTTCAAAAGCTTCACTAAAATTTCATTTTTGGGATAAATAAACCAGTTAACAAACTACAAAAGAGTACCTGAATAGCTTGCTCCTTTTGGTGGTAAGCTTGCGCACGCTTAACATAATCCTTATGCTTTTCGAGTAGCCCAAATCTCCTTCTAGATTGTCTACATAAACAAAAAGGCATCAATTAAATTGAGGAGGAAAAATAAAAGAACATAAATTGAAAATCTAGTCAGAAAAATCAAAACCCAGAATCAATAAAGAGCTAAGAAGTCAGTATGCTTTGATAGGGAAAGATATATTAAAAAAAAAAAAAAAAAAATCTTACGGCTGGGCACGCTCCTTGTGAGCCCTTCTCGGGATTGCATTCCTTAAAGACGACATTTTTATGCACCTAATGCGAAAAAATTCCAACAAATTTCAAGATAAATTCAGAAAATAAGCGAATCAAGAAAAAACACAATTCATAAACATGCAAAGAAAACCTCATAAAATCAAACTGATTAAGAATTTCACGGGTGAAACAACAAAACTTTTCGTCGCCTGATAAAGCAGAAAAAACAGGACAAGAAAGAAGCAAATAAATTCGTAGAAAATTCAGTTACTGTACTAACAGAGATAATTTGCCTGACGAGAAACTTTAGCGAATGCTGAGGTTGGTTAGCTAGATAGCTTAACGCCGCCGCCGCCGCCGGTGTTGTGATGCTGCAGAGCTGTATAGTTCATATAGTACAGGGGTTTCTTGTCCAACTAGGTAGTTACTAAGGTTCAGGCCCAATATTATAAAGCTTGAGCTTATGGGTCATGGGCCTGTGCAATTGTAAAATAAATTTAATATTTCAATTATAATTTAATTATTTTTTATTTGAGCAATTTAAGAAACGAGTTTTTATTTTCTACAAATTAAATTAGGTTTCGTGACCGTTGAATAATGTCTCAAATATATATTTTTTTTCATGTTAATTGTATTACAATCTATGAAGAATAATATATAGCTGCAACTTGCAAGAAATGAGAAGTTGTTATTCAACATATAGTTGCTATGGAAAGTTAAAGAATAATATTCCTATACAATGTTGCTAGTAAGCATGCCTAATAGTTAGGGATAGAGGCGTAAGCAAGAGCTACTCGAGCTCATAGTACTCGAGCTCAGTCTTGAGCTTTTATCGAGCTGAATCGGACATGGCTCATTTAGTGCAAACTAGAGCTTGAATCATTTATCAATCTTAACGAGTCGAGTCGAGTCGAGTCGAGTATGAGTTCGAGATCTTAAATCGAGTTCGACTCATTAACTTACGAACCAATAAGCAAGCTCAAGGTCGACAGGTTATTAATGGCTCGTTCATCAATTTTAACAAGTCGAGATCGAAGCCAAATGAATCAAACACAAGCTTTAACAAACTAGACAATAAAAAATTATATAAAAATTTATTTTTTTAAAGCTTTAACAAGCCGAATCAAACCCAACTCGTTAACTAAACGAGCCAGACTCATTTCATTTAATAGAAGCTTATGGATGCCAAGATGAAATCAATACTGCAAATCTAATATGAGAACTATCATGTTATGCAACATAAAAACTAATTATACTGTCACACTAAAAGTCAACCTTCTTCTCCCAAGACATGAGCCCCATTTTCTTTTCTTTCAAACATCTAAAAACTCAAATTCTGCTGTATCTAAACAAAGAGGAGCTAAGTCCATCAACCAACCAAAAAACCCTCCTCACCGAACACATCATCCCGGGCTTGGACCGGCCCACTATCATCACTGTCCGAGCCAGAGCCCGTGCAGTCCATTTCCCTATCCGTAAACTCGATCTGCTCACACTCAGCAGCAGCCGAGACCTCTCTCCTCCCAACGTTTAAGACTAAACCCGCGTCATTTTCCACCACAACACTCGGCCCACGGGCCCACGAGCCGAGGCCCGATTCCTCATCTTCCAAGTCCAAGTTCTCGTGGGCTGAGAGGAAGTGTTTGATGCGGCCCATGTGGCTGAGGATGGATATGGACTCGTCGATTGCGAGCTCGATTCTGCAGTTGGCCGTGACAACCGGAAGCTTCTCCCACGTGCAGCGGCGGCCATGGTTGGCCGCCTTCTGGAGCTCCGCGTGTGACGGGTTTTTTTGTATCATCTTCGGCAGCTGCGGTAAATTCAATCATAAAAAAAATAGGTTTTGATTTTTTCTATGTCAACTTAGAACAATGCAAAAGGAAAATATGGATTTTTATAGTGTAATGGAAGAATTTATCTATTCCACATAGAAAATGACTCAGAACGAATGTTTTGATCAAAATGAGTGAAGCTCAGCTCCTTTTGCCAATGTTTTTCCTCTACTCTCATCAAAATTCGTGATTTTGCAATTTAAACAGTGCCTTTGCTTCATCTCTCCCAAATGATAATTGCAACTGAAAGTAAAAAACTAGACGATACCTGAGGCAAAGTAGCAGGCATTACGATAGTGACATCACCCTCCCACTCCTGAGTAAACATCTTTGCAAGTCCTCCTAGCGAAAAACCGAGCTCCAATATCTGATTACACCTGTGTTTCACCTCCATCTCAGCTAAACGAGCAATCTGCACAGTATAAGTTAAAATGTGTAAATTCGAAATGAATTATTTCGAAGAAAACTCTCCAATAAAAAGTTCATTTGGCGATTCACGAGATTTTTCATTTTTTATATTGCATATATCTATATATATATATATATATACCTTTGCAGCAAATTTCCCTCCATAAGCTCTAACAATCTCCTTCACCTTCAGCAAGGGCGTAATGTACGGGTTCGACTGGCTCACGATAAAATGATTCACGTTAAAAAGCTCCTTCAATTTCATCATAGGCAGATCAATCTCCATGCTCACATCTCTCCACCTACTACCCGAGCTCTTGGGCCTCGAAAAGCCCGGGAAAAGCCCAATCTCTCCATTCCTATCCTTAGCCATGAGCTCTTGGGCCTCGAAAAGCCCGGGAAAAGCACAAGAAGCTGTGACAGCACTCCATATCACAACATGTGGCGAAGTTAAATAATTAAGACATTTAGGCGGCTCGTTTTTTCCCGGGGAACAAATCGTGATCCCTAGAATTCGGCCCGTAATGTCGTGGGCCTCCTGAAAAGTCAGATTATTCGTCAGACGCCTCAAAATCATCTGAAAATGTTGAATTTCATGGGCCGAGGCCCGATTCATGGCCTGTTTGAAAATGGTGAAGAGCCGACACATCTGGTTGAAAAACTTGTTCGAATCCTCAAAAATGCTCGTGAGCTCGGGCCAAGAATGGGTCGCGATAATCGAGCAAACTATTGACCCGACACTTGACCCGGCTATTATCCGAGGCAAAAGCTTGTGCTCGACTAATGTTTTAACCACACCCACATGAAAAGCTCCTAGAGAAGAAGAAGAAGAACCTCCACTCAAAAGCAAAGCTGTCCGGCCAAACGAGTTCCTAGTCTCGTGCATGAAAGCGAGTTTTTCTTCTAGAATAAGCTCACCCGAGCCTGAACCCAAACTTGAACCACACACCATTCTTAACTGTGTGGTGACCTCATCAATATACTCTTCTATTAGCTTCGGCAAGTTTAGCCTTCCTTTGTGAAGCTCGGGATTACACATGTTGCCGAAATTTCTAACTAAATCGGCTCTCATGTAGAATGTGATGTCTCGAATGAAACCTTCTTGCCGCCTTTGGCGAAACTCTTGGACTTTATTCCTCATGAGCTCCTCGTCATAAAAGTTGGCATCTTTCGTTCTCAGAGTCATTTTGTCGAGCATCTTAGCTGCGTGGGCCCACTCCTCGTATGTTAAAGAGGCCTGCATTATTTTCCGGCAGAATTTTCTCCGGTAAGCCATCTCGACCGATTTTTTCACATGCACGAGAGGCCTTTTTAGCGCGAAAGCTATTAGCGTGATTACTAAGAGTATGCCCTGCGGGTTTTTTGGGTGGAGCCACGAGACGAGGGGAGATAGGTAGCGATTTAAGCAGTTTTTTAATTGCATTAAAAGCATCCCAAGAATCTGATGCCTCAAGTGTGAGATGGACTTGCAGAGCAAGACTTTAAAGGAGAGTGTTCGGCCTGAAAGGGTCGAGGGCCCGATCGAGTCAACTCGGGTCTCATTGCTTATATCCATAGCGTTAGCTAAAATCAAGAACTGATACTGACACCTGAAATTCCCCTTTAAAAAAAAAAGAAAAAAAACTGGTCTTGGAGGAAAAAAGAACTAAAACCAAACAAAGGCTCTGTTAATTGCTGAAACAACACCACATGAAGATGAAGATGGAACGAGTAGAAACAAAGGAAAAATATATGGAATTAAAAAAGGCAAATAGCTGAACACTTGCAATAAAATCAAGAACGCAAGATTGCAAACCTCAAATTTGAATCAACCCATTGAGTACAAAATCCACAGAATGAGTATTACAGGCTTCGTTAAACCCCAGAACTTGAAACGAGACATAAAAAGCAAAATGACCCTAAAGGTTCAATTTTTTTCACTGCCCCTCGATCAAACCTTCAAAAAGGTCCTCAGATAAACCCCACAAAAGAGAAAAGGAACAAAAAGATGCTACAACTTCAGAGAAATCCCCCCAAGCTTCATCATAAGGAGAAATTTGCCATCTTCCTTCAAATTAGGGAAAGCAACGATATTAGAAGGGTGAGCTACAGAAATAGAAGCAAATGCGCATACGTGCAAGCTAAAGTGCACATTGATTAAACAATCAACTTTTTAAGCTTTATGCATTGGGATTGTGAAAGCAAGCGGCGTTGGGAAAAACGAGATAAATATAACAATTTTTGTGCATTATCTGTTGGCGCGATAATATATGCTCAAAGCACAATAGTTTCTGTTGTGTGTATGAGCACCGACCTTTATTTACAACTGTATGGAGTTCTGTCAGAAGTTTATGATAAGGAGCAAAAATTTGTTGCAATTTGAGCTTTCCTCTTTGATCTTCTCTCGTGTTAGTGACGAGAGTAAATGAAATGCATGTGACCTCAACTCGACTCAGCTTGATTTGTTAAAATTCGAGTTTTGTTCGAGTTGTTTAGTTAACCAACCATGAGATTTTTATATAGTTTTTTACAGTTCAGTTCATTAATTGAGTTCAACTCGCTAAAAAGCCAAGTTCGCCTCAACTGTGTTAAACTGCAGAACTAAACTTGAATATCATAAATCATAGACTTGTAAAGGCTTTCAGAGTTATTCTTTAGATGTCTTTGTATAAATCTTAAATGCTTGTGTGATAGTTTTAATTTTAAAAACAATTTATTGGAAAAAGGATAAAAAAAAAATGTAAGCTGAAACTATTGTAATGAATATGAGAATCAAATCATATTAAGATTCGAATACTATGAAAATACAAACTCCATTACTCATATGATATAGGTGTTTTAAAATAAAATTCATCGATGTTCTGTTCAGTTCGATTCGATCTGTTTGCAGAATTCAACCATTAAAGTTGAACGAGGTGCAATTTAATAAAATGGGATGAATTAGTTTACTTTAATAATTTACTGATTAATTTGTATATGAGAAATATGATTATTATTATTGATTTTTATTTCTCGAGTAATATATTGGATGCTGCTAAGCTGTATGTAATTCATACAATTGTAAAAAAAAAAAAAAATTTTTTTTTTTTTTTTTAACTTTTGTGGATATAACATTGCATCAAAGCAAATTAACTAATTGACTAATTGAATTTGCAAACTATTTGCGTAAAATGAACATGTGCAAAATGATTGTCAACTTTTGGAACTTAAATGGGTTTGAGATTGCGACGGGCTGCAACTGTACGTGCCAAGTGAGAAGTTACTAGACTTCGGCATAAACTAGTGGGCTAGGTCCAGTCAGCCCACTATGATGTATATCTATTGGGCCGCCAATATTTTAATATCTATGGCTTTAGGACTACCGACCAACCCAGCCCATATGCCTGACGCGGTTTGACGAAGACTTTTCCTGCTTTTCCAAACACGTTTTAAGCGGCGGGACCCACTTTACCCACTGTATTTCTAGCACGTGTACTTGCCCGCTTATCCATATAAACCGGTGGCTGACTGGCTATTTCCGGTCACTGGACCCCAGTACATGGTTGATGTACAATGGTACATGCGCTACGTACAATCTATTAACATAATCACTCCAGTAAGTCAATCAGTGAGCTGGTTCGGACAATGACCAAACCTCAGGTTCGGTATCTGAGCCTATTTGCTCTCGCTAGTCCGTGCCTATAAGTATCGTCTTCCTCAGCTCGATGAAGAGTCCATTGTCATTGACTGTATCTGCGAGTTGGGGGTTTGAAGAACAGAGTATTACCTGCAAGGTACTGTGCGTAGACTGATTTTTACCTAATTTCCTAATTTAATTTCTCACTTTTTTAAAACTGTGTTAATTGGCGTGATTTATGCTTCTGAAATGTATAGATCTGAAGATCGTCCCATTAACTATAATCTAGCTTCAAATAATCAAAGATAGCTTAGCTTCTGCAGATCTTTGTTTGATTTTCAGGTGGTTTTGATTCGAACGATAATCTAGCCAATCATGGCTCTCGTGTCTGGTGTAAGATCGACGCTCAATCCAAACGCGCCCTTGTTCATTCCGGCGGCCGTGAGACAAGTCGAGGACTTCTCGGCCGAGTGGTGGGACCTCGTCACCACCTCCACTTGGTTCCGTGATTATTGGGTCGGCCAGCACCAGGGAGAAGATATTTTCGGTGAGATGGAGACTGAGCTTGATGGTAACAATGTTGTTGGTTTGTTGCCTGATAACATTGATTTTGATGTGGATGAGGATGTTCTGAATATGGAGGCTCAGTTCGAGGAGTTTCTTCAGTCGAGTGAGGGTGGATACGGTGGGAAGGCTTATGGAGGAGCCATTGAATTTGGTACGAAATTTTCTAGATATTTTCTTTCCTGGAAATTATGATGATTGTTCTGTTAATTCTATATGAGTACTTGGTTGGGTTTGGAATTTTCTTTTCAAGATTGAGCATCTGTATGTGATGGTTTTTGCTTAGAAAGGGACCGTTTGTATTACTGAAATTGGAGAACATTAAGATAGGATTTAAAATTTTGTTAGTAGTGGTGGCAATGATTGCTTGTTTATGTGAATTGTGGGTCATTTTCATCCTGCTCAAGGAGTTTCTAACCGTTGGATCAAACACACCGCTGCATATGTGATCCGATGGATAAAAACCCCGTGTTGGCATGTGTAGGATTGAATTTTCTCTGAAATGTGAAGTACTAAAATCAGGCGTACCATTAGTATTTGAATATGTGTAGGGGTACATATCAATTATTGCCTGGTTTGTTAAGGATGTTGGCAGTATTAATGGGATTTTTTTTTAAAAAAAAAAAATTGCATATTGTGATCAAGCTTTGTCAATGATTGATGAACTCATTTTTGTTTCTTGTGTTTCTTTTTTCCCCCTTTTAGGTTTTGGGAAGAACTCTGATGCAATAATCAAGAATCTTAACATGCAAATGCAGAGAGGCCCCAAGTCTCCAAGGGAGCCGGTTTGGCGCTTTGAGAAACCTGCCAAGTCCGTGGGCCTGAAACCGAGCCCTCGTTTCATTCAGCAGCCTCGTTAAAGATGTAGTGTTTGTGATGGCTTTTAGGCCTTAGTTTACAGTTTGGCTCAGCCAAAGCAGGGTACAAGTTCATGTTTTACTTGCAAACTTTCTGTATAGAGCAAGGTTTTAGCTCTTTGTATTATTTTGCTTTGTTTATAGTATGATGACTGTTCACTGTTTAGTTTTAACATGGAAAACAAAAAAAAAAAAAGTAAAAAAAAAATGTTGAGAAAATGCTAAAGAGTTGTTGTAGACCTCATTTTAATGAAATTGAAGAAAAGAAGTCGTTTTCTTTGCTTTGTTCCCTTCATTTGTGCTTATTTTTATTTGTACCTTTTCAATTATCTATATATGCATCTACTGGCAGCTCTTTAGGGCCCCATAAAGGGGCTTTTCATTGATTGATTCAAATGGGGGTCCTCAATGGAATTCAAGTGATGAGGTCTTTTTTTTTTTTTGGTACAAAGGAAGAAGGCAGAGCCTAATCAATTGAGTTACATACGTTTCGCGAGTAAGAAACACCAATGAGGTCGTGTTCTAACCACTGTCTAACACCATCTGGAGGGTCGGTAAAGAACTGGTACCCCAAGGATCCTTCCGCAGCGAATGAAGCCAAATGGTCGGCTGATAGTCACCTTTTATTTAATAAAATCCTCCATAGTTGATTAGAATTACTGCCTTTTGGCCATTATTTGGTTAGAGCTCCATTATATTTGTGGGGTTAGGTATATCTGTCATTCAAGCATTAAAACCCCACCATCTTTAGTTGGAAAGCATATGATCCTCAAACTTGAGCGAAAGTTGAACCGTTGAAAATTTAAACCAATCTCGAGCATTTCTATATTTTTACGAGGCAAGCCTAAATAAGTTTGACTTGTGGTGCTCGAGCAACAGTAATAAAAACCGTGCATAGCTCAATAAGGTTAATGCTCAGCTCGGTTAGTTTGCAATACTATAAGTAGGCAAAAATTGCAGTATCATATTCCTTCAGATGTGTGAGTAACGCAGACTAATATCGAAACGTGTCAATACAAAAGAAGTTTTCAGTCGCGTACCGCGTCCGGAGGAAAAATGGTGAGCTTGAACATGCCCTCTCCGCCAACTTGAGTTTGGTCCTCTTGCTTCTTCTTCAGTATGGCCTCACGGATTCTTCTGGCGGACCCAGCTGCAGATCTACAACGGTAAACGTCCAACAACTGCAGGCTCGGCACATCCGCCAGCCCAATTGGAATCTCCCCAAGCTCCTCACAGTTCTTCAGCTCGAGCCGTTTGAGCCTCGGGAAGTGATGTCCCGAGACCTTCCACACGACCAGATCTGTCGGCCCAATAAACAGCACTTCCAGGCGGCGGAATCCCCCGTCAGCCGCCTCCCAATGCTTTCCCTTGAAAGCCCCATCCTTCAGCTTCAGCACCTCGAGGCTGTCGAGCAAGCCCAAGGTGGACATTTGGCTCCATTCGAGAAATGTTTCAGAGAGAGTCAGGCTCCGGAGTTTCGGCGGGAACTTGTAATGCTGAGGAAGGACCCGCAGCTGGCCCTCGGAAGCCGGGCTAGGGAACACGTCATTCACAAGCTTCAGCTTCTCGAGGCATGCCATCTTCGCAAGGCTGTCGAACTACCCGACTTTTCCTTCTAAAAGCATGTCCAGGCGGCCACGAATGCCGAGACTCTTGAGGTTGCGGGCCCGGTTGAGGATCTCCTCCGTGCAGCTCTGCGGCGAGATGAAACCAAGGGTCTGGAGCTTCTCGCCTTCTTTGCCCGCTGCCTTGGGTGCAGGCAGGGATGCGGATGCGTTCGTTTTGATGTGCCTAAGTTGGGTCATTTTCCAGATATCAACTTTGATGTCGAGCGTACGGGATGGGGTGTCGACCACCAGGGTTTGCAGGTTCCAGAATTTGGCGAAGTAGGAGGGAAGGGTGGGCGAGGTGGAGGACAGCGTGATGTACCTCAGGTGAAACAGCTGATACAGCTCGGAAGGGATCTTGGTGAACTTCATGGGCTTGGCTTCTAAGACCCGGAGGAGCTTGAAGGCCGAGGGGATGTTGGAGAGACTCGATGCCGGGAGGTTGATCTCCTCTTTCGAGAAACAGGCGAAAGAGCGGATACGGTGTCCATAGAGTAGCTTAGAGGAGACAAACTCCACAACATCGGAGTGGATGCAGAGCCGACGATATTTCTCCAGATCACAGACACGAGGGTAGAAGCACCCCTCGCTCGACTTTTTAATCTCCTGGAGGAAATTTTCTCCCTCATTCCCGGCCTCACTCTTGCAGAACTCACGGAGCTTGTTGTGGATGAGGCACGTCTTCACCTTGCCATTGAGCTTCCTCTTTTCGACCCTAATTAAATTCCGGCTGATGAGCTCCTCGAGATAGCTCTCCGCAGTCTCCTCCAGAGTATGATCGGTTTTTTGTTGGATAAATCCTTCGGCAATCCACATGCGGATCAATTTCCACACAGGGATCTCGTAATCCTCCGGAAACATCCCGAAGTAGAGAAAACACGCCCTCAGGTGATAGGGCAGTTTATCGTAACTCATGGCTATAATCCTCACCATGCGTTTCTCAGGGTCCTCCTCCGTGAGGTAACTGTGCACATTCTCCGATACCTTTTCCCATGCGCTCCATTTCACGCTGATACTATCAGACGATGAGAATCTTTTGACTAGAATACCCCCAATGATCACTATGGCGAGGGGCAGCCAACAACACTGGTTGACGATCAACTTCCCAAAAACCCCAAGATCGGAAGGACAATCACGCTTGCCAAAGACCTCGAGTTGCCGCAACTCCCAACCCTCATCTTGAGTCAAGAAACGCAGCTTGTGGGGAGGCCTATCCCGGTTGGCGTACTGAGCCACCTCCTCATGGCGGCTGGTGATCAAGACTTTTCCCATCTTGTTGCCCTTTGGAAGAGCGATTTGAAGCTTGTCCCAATCGTTGGCTGTCCACACATCGTCCATGACAATCAAGAATTTCCTTCTCTCTAAATGAGACGCCACCAGTTGAGCCAGCTCCCGATCACTTTTGTTGTAAATGTCCTCAGTGATCCTAGTAAACTCTTTTAAGATGGCTAGAAAGATGTCTTTCTTCGTGAATTCTTGGGAAATATAGACCCATATGCGAGTGGGGAACTCGAACTGGATGTTCCGATCACGGAAGATTTTTCCTGCCAAGGTCGTCTTGCCAAGGCCGGGCATGCCGATTATGGAGATGACATCGAGTTGTTCGGTCTTCTCGTTGAGGTACCCAATTATTTTCTCTGCCTCGTCCTCAAAACCGGCCACATTTTTTTGTCTCACGATTGGTTCCTGTTTTGAAAATGTTTCGCAAGAAGATCAGTAGGAAACAAGAATTGGCTAGTACCTAGGAAGAATCACATATACTAAAAGAAATATATGATATTTTATTTAGATTTAAGAGGTTGCCACTCATAAATTTAGACTCCAGCACCTCATGGCCTCCCCTTATGTGAAATATATAAAACAAGAACCAAAAAAAAAACAAAAAACCCTCATGTGTTTTTCTAAATTTAGACTTCTCAAGGAAGTCCAAGTTTTTTTCACAGGAGCACCATTCAAAAGAATAAGCATAAGTATGACATTTGATAGTATAAGCATGCATATTTGTGCATAGAATATCGTCTAACGATTAGGCCGCCCACATACAACCTCAAAAATCCCACATTCAACATTCTTAACAAGAATAAGATAGAATCAGACATAGCTTATATAGGAAGTTTGAAAACTTATGAAATTAATAAGGAAATCTTGAAAAATTTGATGCGAAAATTCCATTATCAGTGCCCAATTAAATCCCTAACTTTGAGCAAATTAGGGCAAATTTGAGTCGCAGAAATTACCTCGACCTCGTCCGGATTTTCATCTCCGGTAGAAAAGTCGATGAGGCTTTTATCGCTGCCATAGATCTCGTTGACCTTGGCCCGGACGCCCTCCACCTGCTCAACGATGTTCATGAGCTTGAGCGGCTTGTGCATGGACCTGAGGAAGTAATTCTTCGACTTGGTATCCGCCGCCTGGGTCACAAAGGCGTCGATGACGTCCTCCGCCTCGTACACGACATCGCGAATCTGCCGGACAAGCTCCCGGAGGCGGAGGTCCTTCCGCCGCTTCTTGGTGGAGTCCTTGAGGAATGCGTTGAAGAGGCACAGATCTTTCTCGAGCCGCTCAACCTGGCTCTTCGAGCTGCTGATCAGCTCCGCCTTGGTCAGGAGGAGCTGCTTCAGGTTCTCCAGCAAGAATTCTATGGCGGCGTCCGCCATCGCCATCGCCACCGGTTGTGTGCTGTAAGATGAAGAATTGATAACTAATTTATATATTATAGCGTAATCCGATATTTCCTACAACGTGTCTCTCTATATATCTTATATATGTGATTGAGAGGCCTCTAGGGTTTTCGAAGCGAAGTGAAATCATCAGTAGCATACCTGTTGTAGGACCAGCACCGTGGAGCTCCTTTTGAAGGCACGGAAACAGTATTAAGCAACGCGTAGGCCGGTACCTACTATCCTTTACGGCTAGCAAGCGAGCGGAATTACACCTCGAATTGACTCCTCGTCTGGTATGAATTGATCCTAGTTTAACTGCGTAGCGCGAGTCGCTTCTAACTGCCCAGAACTCCCTTATCGGTTCTTTAGTTAGGCGAACGGAACAATACGGGGCTGAGCTTTATACGATAGGCGAAGGAGACGAAACCACCTTTGTTGTCGGCTTCCCGGTGGTTTGCGGGACGCTATTGGGGCAAGATCCTACCCCTAAAACCCTCAGGAAGATCGGCCTCACACAGGCCACAGTTGCGAGACAGCAGTGGGGAAGTCTATTCCCTCTCAATCAATACCCCTAATACCCGGGACGGATCCTAATCAAGATTTTATGTATAGGTCCCTTAGTACGACATCCTATGAGACAGACAATCCTTGCGACCGTGGGCAAGAGGGTCCGGCCCGGCTTTTCAAAGCAAAAGCCATTGGGCCTTTAGGTTTGATTAATAACCTTCTCTTTTTTCAAACCTTTTTTAAAAGAGAAATTTACACTCCATACTATCTTATTTAATTTATATAACATTTTTGTTACCTTTATATTTTTATTTTTAAAATAACCTAAAGATCCACAAAATATTGCAAATATACCTGGTGAGATTTACTTACCAAATAAATCGGTTGACTTAATTATCTCTCTCTCTAAAAATACTCACGCTCACCATCTCTCTCGCTCTCATCCTCTACCCTCTCTCTTTTTCTCTTTTCTCCAAAGCACCAGACTGTATATGACAACGCCCGTGCCCCTCTCTCCTCCGGCGACCGAACAAGAAAACTCATCGGAACCCTAAAACCCTAAACTATCCAGTTAGAATCATCGGAGATCAGCGAAAATGGTGCTCGCGCAGTTAGGAGATACCATCACGCAAGTCGGGCTCCGACATATGCTCGTTTTGCCGAAATACCAGGCTGCAGGGGTGAGTTCAAGATCTGATATATGTTGTGTTGTGGTATATGTACAGTATATGTATAGTATATATCAATTATATATATAATCGATTGTGATATCAGAATATATGTCCTCTTTTTTTGGATATATTTTGCGTAAAAAAACAATAAATTCATGTACGTTTCATTGAACGTTAAAATCAATAAAAAAAAACATAAACAAATAATGGACCTGTCAACTTTTTGTGTGGTATATTTGCGTAACTTTTCTTAAGAAAAAAAGATTGATCGCACCTCAATCGTTTGTGTTGTGTTTTGGTATATCTATAGTATATTATCAGTATATGTACAGTATATGTGAAATTTATATATATAGTCGACTGTGATATATATACTGCGATTTTGTAATTTTCCCCCAATTTTTGCTCTCACGCAGACGATGTTCGACCTAATCGATTTCAGCACGTTCTTCTCTCCAATCGCCATCTAAAAATGGGCGACACAAACCACCATCGCCAACGACGACCCCATCATCACATCCGTCGTAGATCGGACAACGAAACTTCAGTCGAGGGCGGTAAATCCTAGCCACCAATTCATTCAATGATTTCTCGCCATCTCTACGGAGGTCGTGGAGGTGCGCGACGGTGTTGATGAGAAAGGAACTGGAAGCGGGGTGGGGGCATCCATGGCGGCAGAAGATAAAGATTGGACTGTAAGATTTTTTATTTTTTTAATTACGAACAGAAATCACGCCCAAGAAAAGTAACAGATTTTAGGCATTAGTTTAATTTAATGTCATCTTTTAGGTACATACACAATTATTTATTTTTGGATGGTATATGTGTAATATTTTCACAATCACATAGGACAACTGAAAATTTCCCTTTTTAAAACCAATGTGGCATGAATTAAACTTGACAAATTATAGGCTAATTTATTCTCCAAGGTACATCAAATTATCTACCACAAGGCAGGTTTCTCTTATTTACAATGAATTGCCATAAAAACCTCAGTAATTAGTAACAACATACAGATTTAACAAATTATCAGCTCACATTCTGTTCAATATAAAACGGGGGAGCGAAACTCCAGTTTAAAGAATAAATAATCGGCATTCTCAATCATTGGAGGTGCTATCAATAGAAGCAAAGCAAAGTAAACTTACATTTGAATCTGCAGTGAAGTTGAAATATTGGAACAAAATCGTCACAACAGAAACACTATCCCAACTACAATACCCAATGATTCGGGCCTGTGTAACATGAAAAAATGTCGTCTTTTGTTAGAACTTTCCCCATATGACAAAGCAAGAAAAACGTCTGAAATATGAATATTCCAAGTTCATAAAAAAGGGTGAATGCTCATCCTGTACAGTTCTTCTCTTTCATAATCACTCTAAATCAAAACCAAACCTTTGAGAAAACAATATATAGCAGCAGCAGTTCTATACTTCATAAAAGAACAAAATGTGGAACTCACAAATATAACTAGTGACAGATAATCAATAATGTAATAACAACAAGAAAGTATGATACTGCCCCTTTTTTCAGATATGCAAAGGCAAAGCCCAAAATTTAAATAAAAGGACAAAAAAATGGAGAAATTCAACTTACACTTTGATAGATCCATCGGCAGTGCCTTTCTTGTTTATATCAGACCTAAATAAATTCCTTCTCAGCACGTACTTGGACGCCACCGGATCAAGCTCACAGCCGAGTTTATCAATATCGACTTTTTGAGCTCATATTCGATTTCGTAGTACGATAAAAGCAAGAAAAAATATGGGATTGCAAAAAGGTTGTGAGGAGTTTTGCGGGCCCAATGGGAGGTTCTGATCGATGGGTTTCAGGATTGGACTTTCCTGGGTCAGCCCTTGTGGAGGTATCCGTCGCCGGAGCTCGCTTCCTGCCGGCCATTGCTGGTGTGTCACGTCTGAGTTCCTCTGAAAATCAGTCTACATATTTATTAAATTTATTTATTGTTTATTGACTTATTTATTCAATAAACTGTAGTTGCTTTCTTTACTATAATGAGCTTTGATGTTCAACATAAGAAGAATGAATGTCGCGACACGTGGCTCAATTGAAGACGCATGATCAATTAATTAGTTGAGGCCTGCGAGCCATTCATTTAGCATCTTTTTGTTATCTGATTTTAGGCTTTTAGCTTACTTTATGGAAATGAGAAAGCAAGAAGAAAATTATCATTTCTCTCTCTCTACTATTCTCACTCTCCCTCTCTAAACTCTTTCTTCTTCCCCAATTCATTCATTATGTATTTACAGTAAACTCACTACAAACCGAGCTAAGGGTCCACTACATAAACTCTTTAGTTGGAAAGCAATTGATCACCAAACTTGAGCGAAAGTTGAACCGTTGAAAATTTAAACCAATCTCGAGCATTTCTATATTTTTACGAGGCAAGCCTAAATAAGTTTGACTTGTGGTGCTCGAGCAACAGTAATAAAAACCATGCATAGCTCAATAAGGTTAATGCTCAGCTCGGTTAGTTTGCAATACTATAAGTAGGCAAAAATTGCAGTATCATATTCCTTCAGATGTGTGAGTAACGCAGACTAATATCGAAACGTGTCAATACAAAAGAAGTTTTCAGTCGCGTACCGCGTCCGGAGGAAAAATGGTGAGCTTGAACATGCCCTCTCCGCCAACTTGAGTTTGGTCCTCTTGCTTCTTCTTCAGTATGGCCTCACGGATTCTTTTGGCGGACCCAGCTGCAGATCTACAACAGTAAACGTCCAACAACTTCAGGCTCGGCACATCCGCCAGCCCAATTGGTATCTCCCCAAGCTCCACACAGTTCTTCAGCTCGAGCCGCCTGAGCCTCGGGAAGTGATGTCCCGGGCCTTCCACACGACCAGATCTGTCCGCCCAATAAACAGCACTTCCAGGCGGCGGAATCCCCCATCAGCCGCCTCCCAATACTTTCCCTTGAAAGCCCGATTCATCAGCTTCAGCACCTCGAGGCTCCATAGAGCGGATACGGTGTCCGTAGAGTGGCTTAGAGGAGACAAACTCCACAACGTCGGAGTGGATGCAGAGCCGACGATATTTCTCCAGATCACAAACAAGAGGGTAGAAGCACCCCTCGCTCGACTTTTTAATCTCCTGGAGGAAATTTTCTCCCTCATTCCCGGCCTTAGTCTTGCAGAACTCACGGAGCATGTCGTGGATGAGGCACGTCTTGACCTTGCCATTGGGGTTCCTCTTTTCGACCCTAATTAAATTCCGGCTGATGAGCTCCTCGAGATAGCTCTCTGCAGTCTCCTCCAGAGTACGATCGGTTTTTTGTTGGATAAATCCTTCGGCAATCCACATGCGGATCAATTTCCACACAGGGATCTCGTAATCCTCCGAAAACATCCCGATCCCGAAATAGAGAAAACACGCCCTGACAGTTTATCCAGTTTATCGTAACTCAGGGCTATTATCTTCACCATGCGTTTCTCAAGGTCCTCCGTTACCTCTGTGCACATTGATACCCTTTCCCATTCATGTTGATAATATCACACAATGAGAATCACTAGAATACCCGCAATGATCACTATGGCGAGGGGCAGCAGCCTACAACACAGGTTGACGATCAGCTTCCCAAAAACCTCAAGATAGGAAGGACAATCACGCTTGCCACAACTCCCAACTCTCAATCTTGAGTCAAGAAACGCAGCTTGTGGGGACGCCTATCCGGGTTGGCGTACCGAACCACCTCCTCTGGTGATCAAGACTTTTCCCATCTTGTTGCCCTTTGGAAGAGCTTTGGAAGAGCGATTTGAAGCTGGTGATCAAGGAACCCCAAGTATTTTTCAAGTATAAGTATAAGTATGACATTTGATAGTACAAACATGCACATTTGTGCATAGAATATCGCTGGTCGACCCGTTAGGCCACCCACATTCAACATTCTTAACAAGTATAAGATAGAATCATAGCTTATATAGGAAGTTTGAAAACAAATTAAGAAATTAATAAGGAAATCTTGAAAAATTTGATGCGAAATTAAACAACGTTTATTCCATTATCAGTGCCCAATTAAATCCCTAACTTTGGGCAAATTAGGGTAAATTTGAGTTCTAGAAATTACCTCCACCTCGTCCAGCTTTTCATCTCCAATATTGAGGGTAGAAAAGTAGATTCGCGATGTCGAGGTAATTTCTGCGACTCAAATTTACTCTAATTTGCCCAAAGTTAGGGACTTAATTGAGCACTGATAATGGAATAAACGTTGTTTAATTTCGCATCAAATATTTCAAGATTTCCTTATTAATTTCATAATTTGTTTTCAAACTTCCTATATAAGCTATGTCTGATTCTATCTTATTCTTGTTAAGAATGTTGAATGTGGGATTTTTGAGGTTGTATGTGGGCGGCCTAACCGTTATACGGGTCGACCAACGATATTCTATGCACAAATATGCATGCTTATACTATCAAATGTCATACTTATGCTTATACTTTTGAATGGTGCTCATGTGAAAAAAACTTGGGGTTCCTTGATCACCAGCTTCAAATCGCGCTTCCAAAGGGCAACAAGATGGGAAGTCTTGATCACCAGCCGCCATGAGGAGTTGGGAGTTGCGGCAACTCGAGGTCTTTGGCAAGCGTGATTGTCCTTCCTATCTTGAGGTTTTTGGGAAGCTGATCGTCAACCTGTGTTGTAGGCTGCCCCTCGCCATAGTGATCATTGCGGGTATTCTAGTGAAAAGATTCTCATCGTCTGATAATATCAGCGTGAAAAGGAATGCATGGGAAAAGGTATCGGAGAATGTGCACAGTTATCTCACGGAGGAGGACGGTGAAGATAAGAGCTCTGAGTTACGATAAGCTGCCCTATCACCTGAGGTCGTGTTTTAGGTCGTGTTTTCTCTATTTCGGGATGTTTCCGGAGGATTACGAGATCCCTGTGTGGAGGAGATTGCGGAGAGCTATCTCGAGCAGCTCATCAGCTGGAATTTAATTAGGGTCGAAAAGAGGAAGCCCACTGGCAAGGTCAAGACGTGTCTCATCCACGAGTTCTATAAATAGATTCATTTTTAATACACGACACATTCTTAGAGAGAGAGAACCTGAGGTAGTGAAAGGAGGAAGTTGAGAACTTGTGGAGCAAAGAATATTAAAAGGGTTTCACTGGAAAAGAATCATAAGTTGTAATAGATTTTAGTTAGAAACTGGACATACATCTATAACTGAAATAAAAATATATAAGTGCATGTATATTAGAAAAAAAAAGACTCGGATGAAAACCGCAAAATAAAGCATGAACAAACATTTTTACTCTCCTCTTAATTATCAGCCCACTGCATTAAATTAGACTATAGGATCTCAAATTTCTAAAATCCCGACTGACGGGTCCTAACAAAATGTGTGCGAATTAAATCATCTCCATGCTAAATTTTGGTTGCTACCTCAAAATTTAACATAATTTGATAGAAAAGGGAAAAAAAAGCTCTTTCAAATGGAAAATAACCCTTCAAGGTATTATAGGAGCAAACCTGAAATGACCTAAAATGCCAGACACTGCCATTGTCATCCCAGCAAAGTAAGTATAAGTGTCCCCAACAAATACCGAAGAAGGATACCTATTAAAACACTCGTAAAAAGTAAAAACACAGGTCATGAAAATAGAGTTCTTATTCGACTGCTAAAAAGTCACTATATTTATTTACCAGTTGTAAGAAAGCAAAGCTAAAGAAGTGGCTAGCAAGGGCTGAGTAAGTTAAATGGAGAATGCATGTGCTTGCTTGTATTCTGAATCAGCAGATGCTCCAATTTGCATTACATTGTGTATTAATATCTGCAGTTAGTTACAAACTTACAATATCTGTCACATTTAGCGGATTAGTAAATTTATTCAAGAAATGTGTTTAAAAAAAAAAAGTTTTCCTTACAGCACATGCAATAATAACAGTTTGTCCAACTTCGAGGCCGTTGAGACCCGCGTGAATGTTGATTGAGTTAGTGCAAAATACGGCTAAGAGCCCCATATATAGCTTGTATATCCATCCTGTCAGAGAGAGAGAGAGAGAGAGAGATCTTCTAAAAGAGATACTCTTGATAGTGTGTTTGTGTGTTAAAACTTTGTTACGCAAAATAATCTGAAAGGTTTTAGGGTGTGTTTGTATATAAAATAACTCAATCTTATACACAACTCATACTCTCAAAATCTAACTCTACTCTAACCCAACCCCACTATCTTCAATACTATCAATATAATTAAATAATATCAACCAATCATTCTTACACATCAGATCAACTTTAATTCACTATTCATCCACTCACATAATTTTAACTGACCATCACTTCACATCATCTCTATCTTACTTTTACATCAAATCAACTTGAATTATTTTATTTTAAATATTATTTTAATATAAACTCAATATCTCACTAACAGCTAAACATACTACATTTTTTAAAAATTAACCATGGTCTAAGCATACTACATTTTTTAAAAATTAACCATGCTTAAAAAAACTCGTTTTAAGCGGATATATTTCTATCCAAGCACGCCATTTCTAAATGCAAGAACTACTATAACTTATATTATAAATTTATAATAACACAAAAATTGAAATTTTGTTGAGGAAAATTTACCTAATTCTAAAATCCCCAATCCAACATATGGAACAAGGGGCTTTGGTATGACTATAGTTGTATGTCCTGCATAGGCCATCAACAATGGAAGTGCAGCAATGGATGGCAATACTAATTTCCTGTAAATTGAAATCTCAAATAAGTACTGAGCCAAAGATAAAATTTTAGATAAAATAGAGAAAGCTATCAAGGATACTCACACTCTCCAAGATACATCAAGGACATCATCAACGAACCCCAGGAGAATCATGAAGCAAATTGATGCTAGTGCAGCATTGNAGGGGATTACAGGGAAGAGTCGTTTGTTACCGTTGGATAACACACTCCCACACCCATTGATCCAACGGTAAAGAACACGGTGAGGGCAAAAGGCACGAATTTTCCAGATTACAGATCTATAATTATGCTCAGATGACAAGCTAGATTATATTGACAGAATGAGAGCAAGGCATTGTGTGTGTGACCGGTGTGGCGTGAATAGAATAGTATAGATTCTCTACCACAAGGCAGTTTTTTCTTATTTACAATGAATTGCCATAAAAACCTCAGTAATTAGTAACAACATACAGTTTTAACAAATTATCTAACCAGCTTACATTCTGTTCAATATAATATAAAACAGGGGAGCCAAACTCCAGTTTAAAGAATAAATAATCGGCATTCTCAATCATTGGAGGTGTTATCAAGAGAAGCAAAGCAAAGTAAACTTAATATTTGAATCTGCAGTGAAGTTGAAATATTGGAACAAAATCGTCACAAACAGAAGCACTATCCCAACTACAATACCCAATGATTCGGGCCTGCATAACATGAAAAAATGTCGTCTTTTGTTAGAACTTTCCCAATATGACAAAGCAAGAAAAACGTCTGAAATATGAATATTCCAAGCTCATAAAAAAGGGTGAATGCTCATCCTGTACAGTTCTTTACAGTTCTTCTCTTTCATAATCACTCTAAATCAAAATCAAACCTTTGAGAAAACAAAATATAGCAGCAACAGTTCTATACTTCATAAAAGAACAAAATGTGGAACTCACATATATAACTAGTGAAAGATAATAATGTAATAACAACAACAAAGTATGATACTGCCCCTTTTTTCAGATATGCAAATTCAAAGCCCAAAATTGAAATAAAAGGACAAAAAAATGGAGAAATTCAACTTACACTTTGATAGATCCATCGGCAGTGCCTTGCTTGTTTATATCATACCCAAATAAATTCCTTCTCAGCACGTACTTGGACGCCACCGGATCAAGCTCACCGTTACGAAAAAACCCACAAAGCTCACAGCCGAGTTTATTGTCATGACTCTTGATGGAAGTTCCATTGCGACGGCTAAGTACGAGGTGAAAGGGTTGAAGAATGTGGGAAAAGGCATGAACTTGATGGACAAAGGAGTGAACTTGATGGCTGAGGAAGGAGGGAACAAGGTCGCCGGAGAAACTGAAGCCACGGGGTTGGAAAAGAAGGATTAGGGTTATGAATTACTCTGATAGGATTTGGGAATTTAGTAATCAACTTATGAGTTTTATTACTTTTGGGCTTTTTGTTTATGTTTGGGTTATTTTTCAATTGGGCCATTTATGGGCTATCTTTTATTTATTAGTTGGGCTAAGTTTGATATGGATATTTCTGATTTAAGTAAGAGGGTATTTCGGGAAATTAGGGCAAAAGATTGTAACAGGTTATAAGTTACCTCACATGTGATGAAATGAATTATGCTGTTACATGAAATATTCTCTTCTCTGTATCTCTCTCTCTCTCTCCCTCTCGATCAACTTCCTATTCTCTTCTTCCCAACTCTCAAGTTCCATACTAAGCTAATAATTAAATACAGAAAAGCTACAAATAGTGAAAAACACTACTTTTATCAAAATCGACTTTTTGAGCTCATATTCGATTTCGTAGTACGATAATTAAAAGCAAGAAAAAATATGGGATTGCAAAAAGGAGGAAGATTTTCAAGATTGTGAGGAGTTTTGCGGGCCCAATGGGAGGTTCTGATCGATGGGTTTCAGGATTGGACTTTCCTGGGTCAGCCCTTGTGGAGGTATCCGTCGCCGGAGCTCGCTTCCTGCCGGCCATTGCTGGTGTGTCACGTCTGAGTTCCTCTGAAAATCAGTCTACATATTTATTAAATTTATTTATTGTTTATTGACTTATTTATTCAATAAACTGTAGTTGCTTTCTTTACTATAATGAGCTTTGATGTTCAACATAAGAAGAATTAATGTCGCGACACGTGGCTCAATTGAAGACGCATGATCAATTAATTAGTTGAGGCCTGCGAGCCATTCATTTAGCATCTTTTTGTTATCTGATTTTAGGCTTTTAGCTTACTTTATGGAAATGAGAAAGCAAGAAGAAAATTATCATTTCTCTCTCTCTACTATTCTCACTCTCCCTCTCTAAACTCTTTCTTCTTCCCCAATTCATTCATTATGTATTTACAGTAAACTCACTACAAACCGAGCTAAGGGTCCACTACATAAACTTGCATCTATATCCTGTTATTGCTTTCTTTACTATAATGGATATAATAATTTTGAGTAAATTACAATTTTAGTCATGTAAATTTTACTACCCTAACGTTTTGTCCTCTTCGAATTGCGTTTTTTATTTTCGTCTCATATGTTTGCTTTTTTATTTTCTTCTCATATGTTTGCAAAAATGTTACAAAAATATCATGTCATACATAAGGGATGAAATTGAAATTTTTTTGGGCAAAACATAAAGGACATTTTTGGGACGAAAAGAACCTTTTTGTAACTTTTTTGCAAGTATACAAAATGAAAATAAAAAACACAATTCGAAGAGGACGGAAAAGTTAAGACAGTTAACATAGAGAACTAAAATTACAATTTACTCAATAATTTTTAATGAAATGTATATTCATCTATTTTTATTCTTGTTAAAAGTTATAATTCAATTATTACTACACATTTCAACAATAAAATTAACTATAAATTTATTTATATATTTTTATTCTTAACTATCATTATTCACCATCATTTTTTACTATTATTATGTTATATCAACTTTAATTATTAAATTTTATCTTATATTTATTATTAAACTCAAAATTAATGTATTCTTTCAATTTTTTTTTTTAACTTTTTTCACTACATTTGCTATTGAGCTAGTTTTTTCCATAATAATTTATTCCCATATTTTCAGTTTTGAAAGTAGACACTAAAATTGATAATATAATTTTCTATTTTTTTCCCCTAATGATTTCATGATTATAACTGACATATTTTTTTGATAAATATATGCTTTTTCATTAAAACCCGTCATGCATTAAAAAGAAAAACATAAATAGAAGCACTGACCCGGCTAAACCATCTCACACTTGTATTTTGTACTCTTGAAATAAACAGGTACAAATTCAATACTAAAACAAATAGTAAAAAACACTTCTAAAGATAACATTTAATTGGCTAAAACCCATCTGAAAAGATAAAAATTGTTCGGTGCAACAATAAATTTTCTTCCTTTTTTTAAAAAAAATATCAGAGACTGATTTTTCTGAACATAAAATAAGTATACAACTTCCAAGTCACAAAAGGGTAATGATATGCTCTGAAATAGAAAGCTTTACCCATGCTATTTGGCCACAGATAAAAAAACCTCCACAAAGTGAGACAAAAAAGTACAGAAAAACCAGTACATTCATGCTTAGTGAATAGTGATACAACAGCACGATCTCATTTAGGACATAAGGGTACTTTTATCTCGCAAAAATCATTTCTCCATTTGAGAAGGCTACCTCAGTTTTCTTCCATGCAACAGAAGTCCTAAAAAATTAATTCAAAGTAGAAAAAATCGCATCCAAAGCTAGTCGACTTCCATATCCTTCCCTTTCTCAGATTCTCTAGCCGACCATAATTTGATCGTTCGGTCATGAGAAACAGTCACAATGCACTGTCCATCTGTCACAAAATGATTAAGAAAATGAGACTTTTTTGCCACAAAGAGAGAGAGAGAGAGAGAGAGAGAGAGAGAGAGAGACTGACTAACCTCCGACTATATCCAACGATGTAACTTTTGATTCATGACCGGATAATGACTTTACAGGCTTAAAATCTCTCGAAGACCAGATCTGAAGAAAGAAATTGACGATTCAAAGACAGTTCTTAAATCATATTGTATGCTAAGGTTTATTTGAGAACATATATGTATGAATGAATACCTTAGCAGTCATATCATACGAAGCGGTAACCAGAAAGTAACCCTCCTGAGGCTCAAATTTGACCTGTGAAATAAGGTTAGAATGAGCCGGTATTATGTACAAAGATTTCCTCTTCCTCAAATCCCATATCCTGCAAGTGTTATCTTCACCACCGGTGGCCAAGTGATAGCCATTGGGAGAGAAACTAACACCTAGAACCTGGAAAGAGAGCTAAATTTTAATATTTTCAACAAGTGGCTTGGCATAATTCAAATAAGCATTATTAAACTCAAGGCACTATTTGTAGTTTTAACTAAACCTGGGTTTTTTTCATGTCATTACACAAAAAAGTTGAGTCAAATCATAGCAAGAGCCTTAGAGGGTGTTTGTACACAAATTCATACTCAAACTTAACTCAACTTTAACGCAACCCCACTATCTTCAATATTATCAATATAATTACATAATATCAGACAATCATTCTTCCACATCACATCAACTTTGATTCACTATTCATGCACTCACATAATTTTATCTACATATCACTTCAAATAATTTATCTTTTACTTTTACATCAAATCAATTTTAATCATTTTATTTCAAATAGTATTTTAATATCCCACTAAAAAATTAACCAAACCAACTTTTTTCAAAATTAACCACGGTTAACTAAAAAAAACAGTAAAATACTAGTTTATTTGTATCCAAACACGCCCTTACCGGCTTCACATGCCCTTCGAAAGCGAGAATACTCTTCCCGGACCTAAGGTCCCACACACGAGCAAGAGAATCGAGCCCACACGAAGCCGCTAGAGAGCCATCGTGATGGAAAGATATTCCGTACACACTCCTACTATGGCCTTCTTGATAGAGCAACTCCTCACCAGTCTCGACATCCCATAATCTCCAAGTCTTGTCAAAGCTAGCTGTGCCTAGGTATTTTCCGGAAGGGTGATAGGCAATACGGGCCAGACGGTCCAAGTGGCCCTCGAATGTTCGGAGGGCTGAGCCATCGTGATTCCATAATCTTGCTGTTTGGTCGGCTGAGGCAGTCGCCAATTGGTGGTTGATTGGGGAGAATGCAACATCGGTGGCTCGTTCTCTGTGTCCTTTTAGGGAGGACACCTTTTTTACGTCGGGCATGGACCATACTTTTGCAACTCCACTTATAGAGCTAAAAGAAGAATGGGGGGAAAAAACCATGAATACATGCAGGCAGGTATTAAGTTTCATTATAGAGACACTCGAATTGTGAGAATTTAAAAGACTAATCTTTCGAAAAAGGAGATATAAAAAAGATATATGGAAGCTATACAAGATAGAACTGTATGAAGGCTAAGCAAAATGATTGCACAGGTATTAAATAAACTCATACATTTGCCTTGTTTGACGCTATGGTTTGTTTCTTTACATCTATAACACAAAAAACGAGTTCGAATTGAAGAAACCAAAAAATGATCAATAAATCTTCGTTGCTTTTGCTCTTTTATCTTATACAAGTGCATCTGTGTAGCGTCTACGACAAACTACCATGATATCCATACATGCACGACCTTGTAACTAGCAACCACAAAAAAAATCAACATAAAAGTACCAGAAACAGAACACTTGCAGCTTTACGACACACAAAACAAGTCATAAAACTCTCAATCAAACCAGACACCATAAAATTAAAAAGAAAAAAAAAAGAAAAAAAGTTTACCAGGTGGCAAGCATTTTCCCATCACGTGAAACCGAACAACCCGAGAGCGGCCGATCATCCCCGATCTCACTGCACTCCAACACCAGATTCCTTGCCTGCTTCAACGACCAATCCACCTCAGCATCCAAATCCTCATCCGGGTCCTCTTTTCTCCTTTTCGCTCGATGAAGCCTCAAAGCTGACTTCACAACTGAATACTTTGCAATCTCCTTTCGAGCCTCCAGCAAGGCACGCGAGCCCTCCGTGTAAAACGGGTACTGAATATCCTCCTCAGGCTCCCCAGAAGCCGCGCTCGATGCTGCTCCTTCCTCGTCCTCATGAGCTTTCATCAGCTTCTCCAGCTGTCCATCGGCATCGAGCCTTGCCATGAGTGCCCTCAATCGGTCCCGCCTTTCCATCTCCTTTTCCCCAAAGAAGGTAATGGGCTCGCCAAGCCGCCTTAGTCGGGCCCGCACGGCATTGTCATTGGTGGGGACGGCTAAGGCGGCTGCCCGGCGCTTCATGAGAAGTTCCTGCACAGCTTTCTCTTGCCTCTCTTTAACCAGCTTGCTTTCTTCTGACACTTCGTATCTCTGGGAAGAATGGGCCATGACTGACTCACCGGAGTCGGAATCGGAATCGGAATTGGAATCTCGGGGTTTAGAGTCTCCACCATTCTGTGGTGGGGGTAACGGAGCTAATGGTCTTGATATTGGGAGGACTGGAATAGGGGCAATAGGGGTTATGAGGGGGGTTGTGATGACAGGTGGGATTATGGGTTGAGCTGGAGGAATTGCGGGGATTTCCTCATCTATGTCCATGGATCCTGGGCCGAAAAACAAGATAACCGAAAAAAAAAAGAAAAAAAAAATCTTAGGGTGTTTTGTAAATAAAATAATTCAATTCATACTCAAAATTTAAGTCAACTCAACTATCCTTAATATTATCAATATAAATAAATAATATCAATTAATTATTATTACACATCACATCAACTTTAATTCACCATTCATCCACTCACATAATTTTAACTAATCAGAACATCTCTCTCCTACTTTTACATCAAATCAAATTTAATTATTTTAATACAAACTCAAAATCCCACTAACAACAAACCATACCACCCTTTTTTCAAATTTAACTATGGTTAAGCAAAAAAACTCGTTTTAAGCGGATATATTTGTATCCAAGCACACCCTAATCCTCTTAATAGTTCACAATGAGGGAATGCAATGCATATATCTACTAGATACAATTGGCTCAGATTTGTTACTTGCTTCCATTTTCCATCCAGTTCTAATATTTTGAAAGTTA